GTCAGTGCGCAGTGCATTGTGGGGGTGGTGGACGAACAGCCTGCCGAACGCCCTTACCGTTTGTGTGTTCAGCGACTCAAACATAAAGCCCATCACTACTGTCCACTCCACCAGCCAACTGAAGCCCACAGGTAAAATAGTGGAACTCAGAATACATGGGCTATTTAGCACTTCCATCTGAAAGCTCACAGTCAACTTAAAGTGAACCTATTCCTTCTATTACAAAACATGAAAACAGCATAGCTGTGCTTGCTGATATGAAATCACCATACATTTATTAGTTAAAACAGGGTTTTCCCACCAGGGTTCCATGGAACAAGGGTTCCTTCAGTGGTTGCTAGTGGTTCCCTGAGAAATGAAAAATTTCTGCCTCTCAGATAGGTTGCCACTGACACTATTGATCTTTTTAGTTTATCTCTAAGGGGGTAATTCTTCCCAATTATCACAAATGTAAGGAACATTCTTCTCACTGACCATCACACCAATGTATCATGAGTTGTACATATAGCAGGGGTTTCCTGAGACCTGGAAAGTTATTTCAAAGGTTCCTCAAAGATGAAAAGGTTGAGAAAGGCTGAGTTAGACAAACATTTTGTCTAGCAGGCAGGGGACCAGGAACTAAAGGGAGATGGGATTAATCTGTCTTTAGTAAAATGGCCACCATGAAAATAAAGGGAAGTAAAATAAAAGTAAGGCATGCAAAGAATAAAAAGCCGTTGCATAGACACTAGCCAAAATTCAGAAAAGCAATCCATGAGCAAGCAATGGTGTCAGACGGGCTGGTCTGAGTATTTAAAAAAACTGCTTATCTACTGGGATTTTTCATGCATAACCATCTCTAAGGTTTACAGAGAATGGGCCGAAAAATAAAAAAATATCCACTAAGCGGCAGTTGTGTGGAGGAAAATGCCTTGTTGATGTCAGAGGTCAGAGGAGAATGGGCAGACTGGTTGCTGCGACATTCAGATGGTAGGGTCAGAATTTGGTGTAAACAATATGAAAACATGGATCCATCCTGCCTTGTATCAATGGTTTAGGCTTGTGTGGTGGTGGAGTAATGGTGTGGGGGATATTTTTTTGGCACATAAATACTCAACCATAATTCATATGCATTAGGAATTCATGGGCAAGTGCAGAGCCAGAATACACGCTACCACACATGTGCGCCCAGCCACAGCCATCTTGGTTACTGGCATAGTGGAGTTTTCTGATGCTATACACACTATATTCCCTTCATTATATTTTAAGTACATTTGTAAGTACATTTGCCTAACAAAGCTTGCTTTTTATGTGGATTTCCAGTATGGGAGCTTTGTTCTTTTATTTCTTACTCACATTTCACATGAACTGCTGGTCCCATTGAGGAGGAGGTGTGGAATGTCCATCTGGTGATCCGGAGACAAGCTGCAGCCTGGGTTCACACTATATACAACTCACATGTGATTTGGTCAGGAATCATACCGTGTTTCTGTTCAAATTACATGCGATTCTTTACAGTCCGATTTAAGCCCATTTATTTAGTATGGACTCAATTTGCACCACACTTGCACAAAAAAAGGTGCAGGCAACTTTTTTTTTGCAGCACTGGAATTCTTGCAATTGCACTGTGTTTTGCGACCTGTTTTGGGTGTCATTATTTTAACATTGACACCCGTGGCAGATCACATGAATGGAATTTTATTTCAATGCAGTGCGGGAAACACTCAGGATTCGCTGCGTCTCCAGCACTGCATATATGTGAACCAAGGTGCAGAGGTTGTACATCTTACTCACTTGGGAGTCTTCTGAGGTGTCATTAAGGGGGCAGAAGGCCTTTCAAAATACAAAAAGCAATTTATTACCACTGCATTGTGGGTCATATAATGCTGGTGAACTTTGCCAGCACAGTGTGGGTGGTGTATGACACACGAAGCGTTGGAGCTGGATATTTCTTCACTGGGATTGATACAGATGAAGGGGTCTATCTCTCCCTTCATCTATCATACTTGGACTTTCCTTCATTTTATGCAATTTGACATGTTAACATCCTTTGGCACTCCAATATAGTTTGCACTTGATTTGTATATTTGCACACTGTTCTTGCAATTTTTATATAGGAGTGGCTGATAAATGTAACCACACATACAGTATATTGCACATAGGTTTTGCATATTTGCACATTAGTTGTTACTTATAGGGTGATTGGCAAATGAATTGCTAACGCATAAGAATTACGGTTGAGCTTTTATTGATACAGTATATTTGCACATTTGTGATTGTTATGTAATTGGACAGTTTGGATGAATCAGAGTTGAGAACATATATTTGTATTTATTTATTTTTCTTTTATAGTATGGATGTGGGATTCTGTAGTTCTGGGTGTGTGGGATTCTGTCATTCTGGATGTGTGGGGGTTCTGTAGCTCTGGATGTGTGGGTTCTGTAGCTCTGGATGTGTGGGGTTCTGTAGTTGTGGGGGTGTGGAATCTGTAGTTGTGGGGGTGTGGGATTTTGTAGCTCTGGGTGTTGGGACTTTGTCATTCTTGGGGGGTATCTTTAATGCTGGGTGTGTGGGTTTCTGTTGTCCTGGTGTGTGGGGTGCTATAGTTCTGGGTGTGTGGGGTTTTGTGTCTAGTTCTGGGTGTGTGGGGTTCTGTAGTCCTGGTGTGTGGAGTTCTTTAGTTCTGGATGTGTGGGGTTGTCTAGTTCTGGGTGTGTGGGATTCTTTAGTCCTGGTGTGTGGGGTTCTGTAGTTGTGGGTGTGTGGGGTTCTGTAGTTGTGGGTGTGTGGGGTTCTGTAGTAGTCCTGGTATGTGGGGTTCTGTAGTTGTGTGTGTGTGGGGGTTCTGTAGTTCTTGGTGTGTGTGGGATTCAGTAATCCTGGTGTGTGGGGTTCTGTAGTTCTTGGTGTGTGTGGGATTCAGTAGTCCTGGTGTGTGGGGTTCTGTAGTTCTTGGTGTGTGTGGGATTCAGTAGTCCTGGTGTGTGGGGTTCTGTAGTTCTTGGTGTGTGTGGGATTCAGTAATCCTGGTGTGTGGGGTTCTGTAGTTCTTGGTGTGTGTGGGGTTCAGTAATCCCTGGTGTGTGGGGTTCTGTAGTTGTGGGTGTGTGGGGTTCTGTAGTCCTGGTGTGTGGGGTTCTGTAGTTTTTTGGGTGTGTTTGTTTTCTGTAGTTGGTGGTGTGTGGGGTTCAGTAGTCCTGGTGTGTGGGGTTCTGTAGTTCATGGTGTGTGTGTGGATTCAGTAATCCTGGTGTGTGGGGTTCTTAGTTCTTGGGTGTGTGTGGGATTCAGTAATCCTGGTGTGTGGGGTTCTGTAGTTTGGGTGTGTGGGATTCAGTAATCCTGGTGTGTGGGGTTCTATAGTTGTGGGTGTGTGGGGTTCAGTAATCCTGGTGTGTGGGGTTCTATAGTTGTGGGTGTGTGGGGTTCTGTAGTTCTTGGTGTGTGGGGTTCAGGGTGTCTGTGTGGGGTTTGTAGTTGTGGGTGTGTGGGTGTTCTGTAGTTCTTTGGTGTGTGTGGGGTTCAGTAGTCCTGGTGTGTGGGGTTCTGTAGTTGTGGGTGTGTGGTGGTTCTGTAGTCTTGTGGTGTGTGGGGTTGTAATCCTGTGGGTGTGTGGGTTCTGTAGTTGTGGTGTGTGTGGGTTTCAGTAATCCTGGTGTGTGGGGTTCTATAGTTGTGTTGTGGGTTCAGTTGGTGTGTTCTGTAGTTCTTGGTGTGTGTGGGATTTAGTAATCCTGGTGTGTGGGGTTCTATAGTTGTGGGTGTGTGTGGGGTTCAGTAGTAGTCCTGGTCCTGTGTGTGGGGTTCTGTAGTTTTGTGTGTGTGTGTGGGATTCAGTAATCCTGGTGTGGGGGGTTCTGTAGTTGTGGGTGTGTGTGGGGGTTCAGTAGTCCTGGTGTGGGGGATTCAGTAGTTTTGGGTGTGTGTGGGGTTCAGTGTGGGTTGGGGTTCTGTAGTTGTGGGTGTGTGTGGGGTTCAGTAGTCCTGGTGTGTGGGGTTCTGTAGTTGTGGGTGTGTGTGGGGTTCAGTAGTCCTGGTGTGTGGGGTTCTGTAGTTGTGGGTGTGTGTGGGGTTAGTCCTGGTGGTTCAGTAGTCCTGGTGTGTGGGGTTCTGTAGTTGTGGGTGTGTGTGTGTGGTTCAGTAATCCTGGTGTGTGGGGTTCTGTAGTTGTGGGTGTGTGTGGGGTTCAGTAGTCCTGGTGTGTGGGGTTCTGTAGTTGTGGGTGTGTGTGGGGGTTCAGTAGTCCTGGTGTTGGGGGTTCTGTAGTTGTGGGTGTGTGTGGGGTTCAGTAATCCTGGTGTGTGGGGTTCTGTAGTTGTGGGTGTGTGGGATTATTCTGTAGTTATGGGGGGGTGAGATTATTTTGTAGTTGTGGGGGGGTGTCTACATGTGGGTGTGTGGGATTATTCTGTAGATGTAGGGGGGATTATTCTGTAGATGTGGGGGGGGGGGGGGGTTATTGTGTAGTAATAGAAAGTTGGCGTCGCGCACCCAGCCCGCAGTGACATGTGTGAGCGGTTGGCTGTCAGTGGCGAAGAGCGGCGGTCGCTGTCCGCGGTGCTGAGCTTGGCTCAGTGTTGGTGGGTGGGTCGTGCGGAGCGGAGAGCGGCGGTCGCTGTCCGCGGTGCTGAGCGTACTGAACGTGGCTTAGTATTGGCGGGTGGGTCGGGCTGAGCGGAGAGCGGCTGTCGCTGTCCGCGGTGCTGAGCGTGGCTCATTGTTGGTGGGTGGGTCGTGCTGAGCGGCGGTCGCTGTCCGCGGTGCTGAACGTGGCTCAGTGTTTGTAGGTGGGTCGGGCTGATCCTGGATCAGTGTTTGTAGGTGGGTCGGGCTGATCCTGGCTCAGTGTTTGTAGGTGGGTCGGGCTGATCCTGGCTCAGTGTTTGTAGGTGGGTCGGGCTGATCCTGGCTCAGTGTTTGTAGGTGGGTCGGGCTGATCCTGGCTCAGTGTTGGTGGGTGGGTCGGGCTGAGCGGAGAGCGGCGGCAGGTAGTCTCGGGTGCCCGGGGCTGATGTGGAGCCATGGCTCTGAAGGACACCACCATCCTCCCGATCAGCGACATGTCCTATCCGTTCCCCGAGGTGGTGGAGCTGAACGTGGGCGGCCAGGTCTATGTCACCAAGCACTCCACTCTCACCAGCGTTCCGGACAGCACTTTGCACAGCATGTTCTCCAGGAACAACGTGAAGGAGCTGCCCAGGGACAACCGAGCCCGCTTCTTCATCGACAGGGACGGCTTCCTCTTCAGGTACGTCCTGGACTTCCTCCGGGACAGACAGCTGTCCCTGCCCGACCACTTCCCGGAGAAGGAGCGGCTGCTCCGAGAGGCTGAGTACTTCCAGCTGCAGGACCTGGTCAAGCTGCTGACCCCCAAAGTCACCAAGCAGAGCTCCCTGAACGACGAGGGCTGCCAGAGCGACCTGGAGGAGACGTCCCAGAGCAGTGATCTGATGAGGACTGCAGCTGTGGATAAAAAGTCTGGCTTCATCACCATAGGCTACAGGGGCTCGTACACCATGGTCAGGGACAACCAGGCGGACGCCAAGTTCCGGAGGGTGGCCAGGATCATGGTGTGCGGGAGGATAGCCCTGGCCAAGGAAGTGTTCGGCGAAACTTTGAACGAGAGTCGAGACCCCGATCGCCCCCCTGAAAAGTACACGTCCAGGTTCTACCTGAAGTTCACCTACCTGGAGCAAGCCTTCGACAGGCTGTCCGAAGCTGGATTCCACATGGTCGCCTGCAACTCCACTGGGACGGCGGCCTTCGTCAATCAATACAGGGACGACAAGATCTGGAGCAGCTACACCGAGTACATCTTTTACAGTAAGTTACTGTCTGCCTCTTATTACCCCGGAGCTGTAGTCTCCATTGCATCTTAAAGGGATACTCCATTCACAACTATTCCAAGCTGGGAATCGGAAAATCCTCCCTTGCAGTGGGGTTACACCTGCACTCGGAGGGTTAACTGCTTGTCTAGGGGAAACCCAAAAAAAGCCCATTTACTTGCCCGATCCCCCACTTGCACACACCCCCACTCCAGTGTTGCCAATCTCCAGCAGCATGTTTTAAGGACAAAACATGGAAAATTTACTGATGGAGCACATTTTTTTACTGAAAAGCTTAAAAACGAAGCCAATCGATATTTAGACAGTATAAACACTGACAATACCCGTATGCCAAGTAACTTGCCTGGTTGACACTTAAAGGCTCCATGCACACCAGCATTTCTAAGCTCCTGGAAGCTATTATCAGCATATTTTTTCTGCTTCTAGAAGCTAAATAGTGGTCTCCTATGTGTTCATGCACACTGCTTTAGGCTGTTAGCATTTTCTGAGCTTCAGCATCTAGGAGTAAAAAAAAATTGTTGTCTAGAGTTTTTTTTGGAGCATATTTCCACAGAAAAAAACACTAAACACTCCTAAAACCGTCTAAGGGCTACTAAAATGCTCCTAACAGTTTTTGTTCTAGCTTTTGTTCCCTCTACACATACTGTAAAAACGCTAATCAAACACTAAATGCTTCTACTACACAGTACTAAAATGCTACTAAAAACGTTATTATCAGTGATTTTTTATCCAGCGTTTTTCAGCTTAAAAAACACAAAAAACACTAGTCTACACAGGATGACAAATTATCAGCCCCTGATCTTTACAGACAGTGGTAAAAATCACAGATTTTTGCAAACTGTCTGTAAATTTACTGGCGATTGGCAACCCTACTCCAAGCTGCTAGACCAGTCCTGACAGATATAGATGTATTTATTGTCATTATAATAAAAATTTACAACAAAAATCCAAGTTACTCCACAATTCAAAACCCAAACAATACTTCACACTCACATCCATAAAATCATTTACACAAGAATAAACATAAACCTCACTAAGCCCATAATCTTCTCCTCTACAATCTGGTGGTCTAAGGTCTGCTGAAGTCATCAAGACCGATGTATGGTCCATAGCCCTGCAGAGGATGTGGAGGGACAGTCCACCACCAGAGCACAGGGGAGCAACCAACTGCTGGTGGAGCTGAGGTTTAGGTAAGTAAAAGCACTTTTTTGTCCCCAAATTGCAGGCGCAGCTCTACTGCAAGGGAAAATCTTTAGGTTTCTTTGAGTTTTGAAGCAGTATTAATCCCAAAAGCAAACAATTATTATAATGCAGTTTAGGCCCCTTTAACACAGGCGGACCGTTTGGGTCCGCCTGTCTGTTTTTCAGGCAGACCCAATCGGACCATGTATTGCCCTCTATAGAGTGGCAGATGTAAACAGACATGTCCATTTGCACCCACCTGCATCTGATCCGATCTGCTAAAAAGAGAAGGATGGGGATCTGTTCTCCACCCATCTAGTGGATCGGATCAGATTAAAATCAGATGTAAATGTAGAGGAGGTCCGTTTTGATCCAGCCGCCCCTTAGAGAATGGCGGGCTGTTTCCATGTCCATTGTGCACAAGCAGAGTGGACATGGGCCTGTCATCCGCCTGCTCAGCGAGGATCAGGGGCAGACTGACAACTCATGGGGCCCCCGGGCAATAGGGGATCATGGGGCCCCTGTGTCCTTGCCCAAACTCAAAAAAGCCTATGAAAAAGGTACCAGGGGCATCTCATGGGGCCCCCTACTGACCCCGGGCCCTCGGTCAGTCTGCCCCTGGCAGAGATCAATGGACAGATCCCCTACTGAGCAGGCGGATCCACTTGACAGATTCCACCTGTGTGAAAGAGCCCTTACCAATTCTTAGATGTGATGGCTGCATTAGTTTTTCCTTTTGTTTTCAACTGGTGATCCAGCCAGTAAGTCTGTTATTTTTCAGCAGAACAAGCTTTTCTGTAGATGTAGCATTTAGGGGGTTGAGACAAATCATTTACCACTGACAGGAGTGATTACAATAATCAGATTTTATTTATTTATGTAATAAACCTTTATCCCAAAAAGAAAAAACAAATGGTTGTAACTGCTTAAATGGAATGTGTTAGCATATCTAAATCTGCTAGTACATTTAACACTCCCCTCCCCCCAGACTGAAAATGCTGTTTTGTAAAGGTGTCTGTTGTTCCTTCATCCAGAGTGGGAGCACTCTAATACAGCAGGTGTTTTAGATCACTGGCAAGATCAGCAGGTGAAAATAGAGGGAAAAAGCCTAAAAAAAAGAAAACAAATGCAGCCACCACATCTGATGATTGGCAAACTGCAGTATGTTCCTTTTATGTTTTGGTTTCATACTGCTTTAGATCTGAACTCTGGCAAAACTAAAAATCTTCCCTAGCAGTTTGGCTGTGCCCATGTTGAAATGCTTAACTGCTTGTCTAGGTCTAGGGGCACAGGAGAAGCACTTTTACTTACCTGATCTTCTGCTCCTGTAGGCTTCTTCACATTTGTAGTCTGGTCCCTGCAGCATCTTCTCCCCTTTTCTCTGGCAGTCTAGGATCCTCTGACATCATCAAGATCAATGCAGGGTTCATAGCCCTGCACTGGATGTGAGGACACCGAGGGACAGTCTACTAATGGAGCATGGCAGAGCTCTGTCTGTTGGGGAGCCGTGGATCAGGTAAGTAAAATCACTTTTCAGTCCTAAAGCTACAAAAGCATCACCAATTCAAGTCTGAATCTTTAGCTTTCCTTGAGTTTGGCTTTAAGCAGACTAATGGTGGCCATACATGGTTCAGTAAATGAAGGATTTCTTTTCTGACCAATAGGATATATTGATAGGATAGGACTGGGATATTGATAGGAATAATTGATCTATACTCCATGATCCTTTTAATTGATATGACACATACAGGGAAGTGGATTTGTATCGATATTTACATAGTTATATAGTTAGTCTGGCTGAAAAAAAGACAAAAGTCCATCCAGTTCAACCATTTAAAAAAAAAAAAAGAAGTTATCCTATACCCACAGTTGATCCAGAGGAAGGCAAAAAAAAACCAGCAAAGCAGGATCCAATTTGCTCCTGCAGGGGAAATAATTCCTTCCTGATCCCCCTGAGAGGCAATTGAATTTTCCCTGGATCAACTTTAACTATAAATAGTAATCAGTTATATTCTGTGTATCCAAAAAAGAATCCACGCCTTTTTTAAAGCAATAATAAAAGGAATCCATTTGAAAGATACAATTATAAGTTATTGATTGCATCTGTGTTTTCCCCACTAATAATCTGATCAATCGAAATATGATCACATTCATGAAAAAACTCCTAGTGCTGACGATCCATGCAACATGATAGATAATGTTCCTCCTTGACTAATCAACTAAGTTTGATCGAATTTGATCTAAATCAAGTCAGAATCAATGGTGCAGGGTGATAATGCTTGTCTGATTGTTTGCCAATTTATTCAATTTGATTGAATCACAGATCGACCAGATTTTAAATTGAAGCACGTGTAGCCACCATAAGGGCTTGTTCAAACCAGGTGTACTGGGACAAAGCAGAAAGCTTTATGAGAGCAGTTCACACCACTGTGTTGTAAAGGTATGAACTGACAAAAGTACAATTTTTCACTGCAGCAGGTTGCAGCACAAACTACCGCATCACAACGCTGCTCTGTGAATAGAAATGAAACGTCACTCATCTCACTTTTCACTAATTCAGTGCATTGGCTCTGTTTACCCTCATGACGCAGCAGCTATCATGTGATCAGCACAGTTGGCTGGTGTGAATGAGATCTAAAAACTCTGACAAAGTTTAGTGTGGTGATGTTACTGCAAGCGTTTTTTTTTTAAATCCTATTAAAATAACATCTGGTGATCTACCCACAAAGAGTTAGGTTCAGGCCATTCCTGTTATGGGATGACAGCTGTCTCCCAACTGTGCTCCTGTGTTGTCACCCTGTCACATATACCCCTGATGAAGACTATAAGCAGCAATGCTGAAACACTATTGTGGAGGTATTGTCCATTGTCCTCATGATCAGGAAGTCGATCCAGATGTGCAGCCTACACTGAAGTGAGTGCATGTAGATAGTGGGTGGCAGAAAGAGGCTGCAGGAGATCAGCAGCACATACATACAAAGGATTAAAATACATTTCTTGAAAAAAAAATGGCAATTGCTTGTTATACACAGTGCTTTAGCAACCTAAATGTTATCCAGTTAGGGTTTGGATCCACTTTACATTCTGGGTGGATTGAATAATACATTCACTCCCAATAGGGTCCAGACAAGTTCATCTATCCTGCTAAATTGGTCATAATAATAAAAGATAAGGCAGGCAGAGTGGGACTCTAAGTAAAATGCACAGCAGGTGGGTGGAGCTGGGAACTCGGTTTGGCAATCTCTCTGCCAGAGTTCCACAGAGATGAAAGGATCCATTTGATTGATGATCCTCTTATGACTTCGTACTCATGGCCACACAGTGTGCAGCGCTTGTGTAATGCCTCTCTTGGGAACCACTGCCCCCATGTACAGCTGCCCATTGAGATGAATGTGAAGAGGTAGCTACACGGGCTTGTGCACAATGGTTTGCATAATGCACCTGCTTGCGCACTGACGTATGTTCCAAACGCAGCTGGCCAGGGGGGGGGGGGGGGGGGGAGTTTATTGCCACGTACAATCTCTATATGCCCATGTGCATGAGGCCTTAATTGCTAGCATTTTTCTGTTTTATTAATGTATTTATTACAGGTAGTTATATAGCGTCGTCAATTTACACAGCGCTTTACATACATACATATATATATATATATATATATATATATAAAAAGTGCTGAGCAAACTGTTGGAACTATATAAATCCCGTATAATATATATATATATATATATATATATATATATATATATATATATATATAGTACATTCACATCTGTACGTGGTATCCATATTTTGCA